GCATAAACATGGCTGTTGACCCAACAAACACTAAAAGAATCTGTAGTAAACAAACCAAAGATAAATGAGTGAAGTAAAGTAACCAGATTTTTACCTGATGTCGTGAGTGCAACAGTTTCTCCTCCAACACGTCCAACCATGCAGCCTGGTGTGACTTGTGTTATTAAGATAAAGACCTTTAGGACTCTCATTGTGCAATCGTGCGCTCTTCAGAACAAAATGTCCTGTGATATTCATCTGCACTGAAGAATAAATCCCCAGAAAAACAGGACATTGTTATTTAGGGTATAGATAAGGTATAAAACGCCCATTAAATGTTCAAGAGGAAGAAAGGCTGCTGTTGTTGGGCAAGAATTCACATTGGGAAGTGTTTGACTATCAAAGGAATGTACGCAATGTAAACAAAACAGAGAGGAAATCTAAACAGGTCGTCTGGAGACAGCTCAGCCTGTATTACAGTCTGGATTTTAAGTAGCTGTGCTGAAGTTTGATCTCTTCTAACAATTTTACTCAAGAAAACTGGCATTAATATAAGATTCAAGCCCCAGAACAACGAAAACCATGATGGAACATATGAGAAAAGCAGAGTAGTAGTGCATGAGAACAATCTTTTATTGGTGTTTTTTGGGAAATCTCAACTACATCCAAATAACCAGCACCTAGTGGGCTGGGCACCATGGACACCACTGATGCAGCAGGGCAGTTGTAGTTCAATAAAGAGTCACTAGATTCATCAGCCGCATCTGTGAGGATATTAGAGACTAAAATCCTGCCGGGAGAGCAAACAATCACTGATTGAGGGTGATAAAGGCTGAAATAAACCAACACGGAGCATATTGACAGTGTGCATAGTCCATACACTGCTGAGGAACAGAAGAGGTCGTCGTTAAGGGTAAAAGAAAGTCTGCAATGAGCATCATGTTCAAGTTATTGAGCCTCGTTCTTTGAAATCCAGGGAGGAACAGGTGGCAGTAGTGTCCGTAGCAGAAAATGAGTCATACTGACTGTCTGCAGGTCAGAGACGGGATGGAAATAACAGAGTGAGGGTTTTTCTTCTTTTTATCCATTGGAATAGTCTTTCTGAGGAACAATGAATATCAAAGACGTTTCTAGGATCAACAGATCATGTTCATCCAACGAAAGAAAATAATTCAGTAATATAGAACAGCAATAATAAGAGGGATAATCATCATAATCATAACAATAATAATAGCAGTAATGGTACCTACTCACCATGGTCATTAAGGGGATTAAAATCACACTCTATTACTAGTCATCCCTCCCCCACGAACATAACATGGTGTACCACGGCCCTGTGCAGGTGATGTGGGTACACAGAGACGTTCATAGATACAGTATAAAGTAAGGAGTAATAATAGGAGTAAACAGGAAGGAAGGAGCAGTACTGAAAAAAGCACTACATAGCAACAAGCTTTGTGGATCAACATAGGAAATTTTGGCTTTTATTTCTCCCAGAAATCTGAGAAATTAACACCATTCCACTCAATGGGGATTTTCCACCCATCTCCTGGAATACATCAAATACACAAAATAGTATAGGCCTATCCAATATACACATCATTCCTCCCCCTGTAATAATGCTAATTATAGTGTGTTCATAAAGTACAGTAAAGTAACGATGTGCGTTTTACTGGGAAGGTTGGATTACTATTTCAGAATACATTACAACACTGAGATTTAACTTCCTCTATGTACTGTCCAGGTACAAGGGAGACACAGGGACAAACTGTTCCTGGAGGAGTTGACTGTGAAAGGGTTCTGCAGACAGAAAGAGAGCATCTGGGTTGTCGATACAGACAAAGAGAAATTTGGATCGGGAGGAGCAGAGTCGCACTGGGCTTCACGACAAGAACGAAACACCAGAGAGGATTCAAAAAACACTCAGCTGGGATAGAGGAGAGAAAAGATACAAGTATGGACTGGTGAGAGATGCACCAATTTCACATATACGGCCGAGGTTTTAGGAATTTTTGTTGGTGAAGTGAAGTCAATTCAAAAAGGGTGAATTATTTTTAAAAAAGATGAACACACGACCACACAAGAGTTGAGGATAATGCTGAGCTGTTTACATGGTGCCTCCTCTTGTCTCTCATTCTGCCTCTCTCTCTCCCTCCTGCTTGCCCATTCCCAGTGACAGAAACAGAACAGGAATACCAAAAAAATTAAGTGCTTGAGTAAAATCCACAAAAATGTCAAACTATACGATTCTGAGATAATTTTGCTCTATATATTACAATTGTTACATGCGTCCTCGCCGCTGCTGCTGCTGCATCCTGACTATAAGAATCATGTTGAAAAATAACCATCGATGGCTGACCACCTGTGAAAACAGCTCCTGACTCCTCTATAATAAAAAGAGATTAACCATAGCTTTCCTCCATTTCAATGTCCCAGTCGTGTAGAAAATATACAAAATTATTCTCCAAATTTGCTCTCCCTCTAATTTTTCATAAGTATTATAAAAATATACAATTCTCCAATAACAAAACTCTTAAAAGTCACATCTGTCATCTGTTAAATTATTCTCTCCATCCACGACTTTTAAGAGCTGACACCTCAACAAGACACCTGAGCTTCAATACACAAACCTTCTCCTCGTCTTATACATTCATCATCATCATAATCATCATCTTTCTCATCATCATCATTATCCTGACCCCATTCTGTCCATCGTGCAACCCCCCCAAAATTCAGTCTTGAATCCAGCTTATATTCCTCCTCTTCCTAATTCCGCTCCGTGCCTTCATCACTGATCAGCGAGACGGTTCTCGTATTTACTAAGGATGTTGCGGCAGCGTCCAAGTTCCTTCCGCATCTCGGCCACTTCTTGTCGGAGTGCAGCGTTCTCTCTCTCCAGGTAGGCAGCGCGCACCGTTATCTGGTTCTCCTTGAGACGGCGAGCATCTCGGGAGCGCTTTGCTGCTTCGTTGTTTTTGTACCTCCTGGTCCAGTACTTCTCATCCTGGAAGGGGACAAACAAGACAGCGCATTGGTTACTTCAGCATCTATCAGCGAGATCCTTGAACCAAGCTTGATCAGGTAGAAGTATGTCAACGGAAGTATCAATGAGAACTCAGAGTACTCCTGTTACTTGTAATGTGGGTGTTTGGCCATGAATGAGCGTGGGACATGTTCCTTTCAGAAACCTCATCCTCTGCACTGAGTTAATGTCCGAGAGTAACTACAACATGCAAACAACCAACATTATTAAGAGCGTGTTGATTATAATTGGAGATTACTTTATAGGCATGTATGTGTACATATACATGTATGTATATACTATATCTATCCACCTATCTAGCTAGGTAGTGACATGTTTCTTTTTTTTCCTGTGTGTTTATTATTATTATGCTTTTGTAGCAAAGTAATTTCCCTGCAGGGATCAATAACCTGTTAGTGGTTCTGATTATGATGAAGCTCTGTGTGTACTTTCCCTTCACTCACTAATATGTACCTTGGACGACAACAATTAGTCGAGAAACCTGTCCTGCAACAATGTAATGTAACATTCCTGGTCGTGACAAATCATTTTTCTCCTCACCAGTGCACGGAATTATTTTGGTAATGCATTGAGAAGAGATCATTCACCTTCATGTTATCAGGCACCAGGATCTTGCGGGCCTTCTTGATCATTGGCTGTGGCTTGAGCTCCTCTTCGCTGAAGGAGTGCCTCCTGGGGTCAAAGTTATGCTGGCTGGAGCTGCTGGACATAGCCATGTCCGAGCCGTCAGTGTCAAACATTCCAGTCCCGTCTGGCCCGCTGCCCGTGGGCGTCAGCAAAGGTGGACAGGAGGACGAGGAGGAGGAGCAGGGTGACTCACAGGACTCGTTCATACTTGTTTGACTCCCTGGAATTACAAGGAAGATATTTGTGATTTACATGCTTATGACTGGACTATATTTAAACAGATTGATTCTACTGTCAAACATTAAAAGAGCTGATGACAACAGGCCGCTGTGATAATAATAGGAACACATGCAGAATTTCATCAAAATGACCACCAGGTGGAAGCAGAGAGCTATGGTCTTAGTGGTACAAACAACAAAAACACATTTCTCTGATGGTCCCACAGAACTGAGGAGGTTTTTCAATCAAGCCTTCATGGACAGCAAGAATTTCAAGCAAGAGGATTTCAAGCAAGAGAAATCAAACAAATAAATAGGTATTATGAGTTACTTTTACTTTATCAAATTATACTTCTGTAACACATATCACATTGGCTAAAAATATTAAATGTTCCATAGGCCTTCCATATTATCTCAACCAGCCATTGATATACAAGGGAAAAAGTCCACTTTCACTGTATATGACCTATTACAAACATAAGAACTGGTCATTATGGAAAATGAAAGCCCATGTTGTGAATCCCTCAGTCTACATACTGCCTGTTGGAGAAAAGCAGAACTTTAGTCTTCATGTACCTGAGGATTTTGTGCAATCTCCTTAGCCAATGTCCAGAACCGAAAAACCAATAGAGAAATCTAAAAGTGGACGTGTTATGTAACTTTGCACCCCTCCCCTTAAAACTAGTTTCTTTAAGTGGGGCCAATGTAGGGTTATATCTCACCCCACCCCCTTTAAAGGGGTAGTTCACTGAAAAATGAGGGGTGGGTGAAGTGTTTGAGTCCACAAACCAGTAAACTTTGTTGGAGCAGAATCCAAATCAGTTGAAGTCAATGGTGACCTAGACTTTAGACTAATCAAACAACAGAAAAACATAACATGCCTCCATACTGCTCCTGTGGTGTCATCCAAGTGTCTGCAAGCCCCGACATTCATATTTGACTCATAACGAGGCCATTTGCACCGTGTTTTAAGCCTAAAAGTGCACTGGAAGTGGCCAAGCATTAGCACGTCTGACAGTCCCTGAGTGCACCTCATAGGAAGATATCAGCTGACTTCTAGGCTTAAAACAAGGTGTAAATGATCTTGTTTGGAGATCAGTATGAACATAGGGGCTTGCAGACACTTGGACTACACCACACGAGCAGCATGGAGGCATGTTATGTTTTTCTGTTGTTTTATCACGCCTTGGTCACCATTTACTTAAATTGTTTCGGATTCTGCTCCAACAAAGTTTACTTCTGAGACTCCGTGTTTTGTGGACTCACTTCACCCATTCCTCCATCGGCATAGTGGTGAGTAGATGAGTGAATTTTAATTTTTCAGTGAACTATCCCTTTAAGGTCCAATGCACCTTACTGGACTGACTTCTCTTCCCTGGAGAGAAAAAACAATCCCCTTAATCCTTCCTATAGCTGCGAACACCAACAGACCAATCAGCATCTGTCTTCTTAATATAGACAAAGTCAACAGAACAAAATCACCTTTAGACTTTAACTTTCCCACAATTACAGACTTATGTCAATCAGAAGTGTTTTAAATAACAAGTTATCTCAATATATGGTGAAAACAGAGGACACTGTTAAAGCTCAGGAATAGATGAAGACATGGCAGGATATCAAAACCACAAGACAGCAGCCTGAACAATGACCACAGAGCAGCATCAAAACAATCTAATTGAAACCGTAGATGTTATGTTCCACAAAGATGATAATTAAATTAGACTGACAATGTGGAAACCCCATGAGCATTATAAAAAGTACATAAAAAGTCTTAGAGTAGAGTAGTAGAAGGAGCAGGCAGTTCTTTGGTTGGAAAAAACAGACCCACCCCCTCTTTCAATGATACAGTAGATGTTGTCATCTGCTAAACATGTTATCTGAAGACCCATGAGCAGCGATCACATGGGTAAAGGCTGTGTGACCAGGTAATATGAGGGCAAGTTTTTACACCAGCTGCTCACTACAGTGCAAACTGTTCCTACATGATGTTCATCTGTTCCACAGCGACAATGTAACAAACACGCATGAGTGCTTCTCAAAGAGGAAGACAAGAATGCTCCATACAAAATGTCATTGAAATTTGATTTGGATAGCAACAAAGTTCGACGGAGACCAGACGAGAAGCATTTTTCTTCTCTACCTGTGACTAAACCAGGAGGTTTCAATGATTTATTACTGCTTAAATCCAACAACCTAGAGGTACATGGCAGCTCTGGATTGAAGACCTGCAAAGTAGATTTGGTACAATTTTGTCCACGTGTCTTCAACCTTCAGAGAGCATGAGGGTTTTTTCCCAATGAGAAACGCTCCAATGTGTAATTTCATACTTTTCAGGACTCATACAACAGCATTCCAAGAAGAAGGGAAGTTGGTGAGAAAGTAAACTGTATCCCTAGTCTGTCTAAGGTGCTTAATATGATTAAGTGCTGTCAGATGTTGTTTGGTTTAATATTTATGAAGTAGCTTTGATGCCTCTATAATACTACAGCTTCTCTTCTTTCAGATCGAGGGAGATGATGACAATTACAACATTGGTAAAATCGCCTCAGCCAAAAACTTTTAGACTCCAAAGTCATTTTGTTTTTAAGCATCGTTTGTTGAATATAATCACAAATCTTTCATGTAAATACAACACTTCATAAAAAGGGGTTGTTATCTGAATGAATAGGCCCTTATCATGCAATATAAATTAATTACCACAACATGCACTTTGTCACTGAGGGACTGAATTAAAGGTTCTGCATCTTTATCCCACACAGTATAAAAGCCTCCTCTGGATATCAGTGCGCTTCATGTCATTCAATGGGGATCAAATGTTCGGTTTGAAGTCCAGCAGCACAGTGAAACTCTTCCTGTTGCTTCAGTGTGTCTCCTCCCCCCGTGGACTCCTCCTACATGTCTGGTGGCCCTGCCTCTAGTCCTCTCACTCCAGTACTCTCTGCACGTGTACTGACGCGTGCACATGGCTGTGGCGTGTGAAGTGGGGAGAGATTTAAAGACACGCAACCGCAAACACTCCACACACACTCTCTCTCTCTCTCTCTGCCTCTCTGTCTTAGTGCTGCTGCTGTGACCCTGCTGCACATAAATAATTGGCTGGGAGTGAATGCTGATTGTGTTGTGCACTGCAGAACACTGATCACATGCCAAACTAAACCAAACCTCCTCGTCAATGCTACAATATTGACTCATCAAATAGCTCAGGACTTAACTGCACGTTTCTGTCTGAGTCCTTCACCTCCCTCAGTCTTGTTTCTCCACTATTCCCTGATACTAACTTTTAACCCTGCGCCCTGCTGCAATTTCAGAAGCACATTTCAGTCTGTGTTTAACAGCCATTTCTGAACTCTGTGTTTTCTGTCAGGTTGACTTTGCATTTAAAGCCATGTGACTGTATCTGCTGCCTTCAGATTGACCCCGCGGCACAGAAAAATGCTTTGTCAACATGGTGGAATAACTTCAGAGAGGAGTGGAAGCTGTGAATAAATGGGAACATTTCAAACACCACATAACCTTGATTGCATCTCAACCATTACTGTATTGTAGGGTCTACTGGTCTCATATCAGTGGCAGGGGACTATTTGTCTCTTGTGGCTTGTCAACCCCCATGATATTGTTGTTGTGAGTTAAAACCTTGAAGAATGACCTGTCCTTGCTCATCTTTTTTACCCCCTGGTTCAATTGTCTATCTATTCCCTCAAGATAAAAACGCTCCATGTCATTAAAACTCACCATGCAGACAGTCACTTCCTCCTGCAAGGCTCTGCGGCTGGGCCACCTCCAAACCAATGAGCGATGGGGAGGAAGAGGGCGAAGACGATGAGGAGCAAGCTGGGGATGAGGGCGGTAGGCACTGGGAACTCTGGCTGGGCACGGCTGATGGGGAGCTCTGTGAGGGGATCTGGGCCGAACTGGAGCTGTTGTTGTTATGCATGCTGCCCATTCCATTTTCGGTCAGAAACTCCTCCAAGTCCATGTACTGCAGCTGGAAGAGGCCCCCATCTGCCGGCAGGGTGCGATCCCACAGGAGGGGCCCCAGGAACTGGTTGAAACTTCCTCCTCCATTTCCACCACTACTACCACCACCATTACTGTTATTACTGCTGCCTATTCCACTGCTGTTCCTCGTGGTGCACACTCCCATGGAGTCCTCATCCAGGTCCAGTCTGTCTTTATCTGCCAGAAAGAAGAGTCATGGTTAGATCAGGATGAAAATAAATAGCTTTGGTGTTACTTCATCTTTAAGTACACAAAGTTCAATTTGTTAAGAGTGTGGCCTCTGATAAATGGATGCTAACACCAACTTTCCATAGTTGGGCAGAACTAAATGAGATGGCAGGTGTATCCATAAAATGCACTTCTGCCTCTCTTTGTATCTCCCATTCACACTCACAGATGGACCAGATGGCAGCTGAATTGCAGCATTAAGTGAGAGCTAAAACCAATTTGTTGTCATAACATATACATAAGCTCCTCAGCAAATCTCACAATGGCTGAAGATAAGTTTTTGGCATTGTGAGCGACCAGGATGCATGACTGCACAGAACTCCAGCTGAACCAAAACATGTTATCTCTCGGTGTAATCTGGATCTTAATTTGAGAGTCGCTGCAGGGATTATAATCCAGGTGACTACTCAGGAGGATCACGGGGGAGTCATCACGAACATGTGGGATGGTGAATCATTTTTGTGTAAAAATATGCACCAGGAAATATGACAAATGCTGTTTGTTATATAAAGTGCTACATGTTTGCATTACAGTAGCAGTGGGTGGAACGGAGAGGAGTATGATTTATTCATGCTCTGCCATCTCATTTATTTTGGAGATGGACTGTGTTAGGTGACAGTGATGCACATTCAACATAAACAACAATGTGACATGGTATCAACTCAACTTTCTTACCTTTCGCATCACTGGGTGTTTTTAAACGCTGGTCCCCCTTCATGGGGTGCTGCAGGAGGGACTTCAGCCCTGCCATGGGGTTGATGTGGCCCCCTGTGAGAGAGCCTGCAGGCTGGGTGCAACTTCCAAACTGTGGGCTTGCGCCGGCTGGGAGGTCGGGGGTCGGGAGCTGAGAGAGCTGCCTGGACATCCTGGACCAGACGGGGGCGCAGAGAGACACCTGGGGGGGGGGGGCACTTGTAAGGGGGCGAGGGTATCCGAGTGGAGCACCTACCAATGGGACAAGTATGCTGCTGGATGACTCTGCATGTGTTTGCAAGAGGGGTGAGGGAGGGGAGAAGGGGGGAGAGCGGAGAGAGACATACGTAGTTTTGAGAAGTGTTAATTTGGAATAAAGCAACCATTGTACTGTACAAGTATACGAGCGTTGCACTCATGACAGTTTTATGGCACTTTGAAACTTCAATGAAATAATACACAACTTTTACCTTCTCTCTTGTAGTTGCGAGCTTCTTATTTGCACGCAGAAATATTCTCATCGAAGTATTCCATTGCAGCCGAGAGTTGTTAAAAGTGTGCAGGAGATCAGGCTGTTATTCTCAGGAGGAGCAGAGTGGGAGGAACAGTCAGACCATCCGAGGAGAAACACTCTGCACAAAATATACCACTTCTTGCAAAGACGTGAAAAATGTGTCAACGAGAAAAGGAGACGAAAATGTCTCAATTAAAAACTTGTAATCGTCCAAAGCTCAAAAAAACAGACTCCGCAAAAGCATAGAGCTGCCAGGTGAAAGCTCCGTCAAAGCAAAACAACGTGAGAGGAACGGTGTGTACAGAAAACACGCACAAACACGCACACGGGAGCAGCGGCTGAGCTGGTCAGATGACAAGTTGAATTGGTGTTTGTCTGCTCTGTGCTGTCGGGTTCTGCTGTCCGTCCGTCAGGAGGAGGAGGAGGAGGAGGAGGGGGGGAGGAGGAGGAGGTCGTTTCCTCTTTCTCTGTCTGTACTTTCGTGCATCCGGTGGATCCAGTCACGGGCGCACGGGCTCGAGGTTTGTGTCTGGGGCCGCGCGACGTCCACGTACGACCGTGTCCTCTCTCTCCCTCCCCTCAGCTGGAACGGACACGGGCGGTTCACGTCACGTCACGCCTCTCGCAGCGAGAGACAGCGGAGCGGGGCGGCGGGAGGGGGCGTGGCTCCCGCGGCTCCGTGCGCATTATTTATGAGACACACCCACCCTCGTGCCACATGTCGAGGAGCGGCAGCTGTTTGTTTTGTCTGACAGGTACAAACGGTGCCTGCCCCCGGTGCGTTCACAGCCGCAGCAGATAAACATGTCACCGTGGCTCTAAGATGGAGGCCACGTGCACCGTCCCCACACTGCTCGGCCCTGTCATCACCGTGACAAACGTGTTTACGTTGAGGATTTCTGCCTCACAGCGCTGCCCTTCGTTATTAGTGCGTGGTTCTGGGCTTCCTGTAATAATCGGGGAGTGCTACATGGCTTTTCCAGTTTCCTTGTAATCCAGAGAAAACGTGAGCGCGCTGTTTTTTCAGGCCTCAGCACGTTGCCTCCCGGCGCACAATAGCTGCTGCCGCTCACGTGTGTCAGGCACGCGGGGAGCGGGTCCTAGGCGTTCGCGGCTCCGGCTCCCATTGGCTGCCTCGGATCGTCGCCCCGCCCACGACGAGCGGCGATTGGGCAAAAATAGGTCGAACAAACCCGCCCGCTCGGGTTCTCTCCGTGCATGCCCCTGCCGCGTGAGAGAAGTTCGAAACACAAAAAGCGCGAGGGCTGTGTGCTCCATCGTACAGGTGCAGAGCACATGCAAAACACTGCGCGCCGCAGGAATTCACCTCCTCGGGTTGCATGCAAGAGCTGACAAGTGAATAGCTGGAAGATCTCATGTCATCACACAGCTATAGAGAGTGATGTATGAATATTAAGCACTAAATATGAATATTATCATATCCGTGCTGTCAACAAGAGACATCCACCGTTTCATTTGTAATAAGACTGTTTAACTTGATAAAATCCTCAAACCTTACAAGCAGCTGGAAGTATAAGTGATCATTTAATATCCCTAAGCAAGAGACATGCACGTGTGGCTGTAATATTACTATAATATCTTATATACCAACTCGTATTACTTGCAGGTCTGCGTAAATTATAATATTGTGGTTGATGTTACTTGTGAAAGTATCAAAAACTGAAATGCAGCTGTTTTCTCTATCATAAAACCACTAAATTGGAATCACAGGGAGACATTACACTAACAAAAAATCTGATTTTCTAATCCAATTAATTTATAGTTTTCAAATACAATTGAAAAATGAAATGCTTTGACTTTCATTCTTTAATCACAAGGCTGTTTGCGTGGCTAAATTTAACTGCGCATTAATTACTCACTGGTGCTCGAGCATTACTTTTGCTTTGTGGCATTACTGTTGTAGTAAACAGCAGCAGTCACACAGTTCATACACACAACACTCTCCTGTCCACTCCCTGCCAGTGCAAAATCCATGTGACTGCCTCACCAGGCCAAGGGTACAGTACGATGAGCTGCCTACTGCCACCTTGTGGGGCTAGGAGGGAACTTTTACAGTGATATCAAATATTGTAAATATAAATAATTGAAAATTGTTAAATTATCTCCGAAAAATCTGGCCAATACCAGGTATGCCTTGAATGAAATTTATTAGTATATCATCTACATCCTGAAATCCATTTAATCCACAGTGTTGAAATTCACAAGGGACATTAAGCTGTGTATAGAATAGTAAAACTTCAATACTGACTTTACTAACAGTTACATCTTACTTGTGTTAGGTGACTAGCAGTTTTGTATCGTATTCTGGATATTGCAGTGGGTGACTAAATCAGAAAAGAAAGGAAAACAAATTATTACACTTAAGGTTTATTCATTGCTGAAATATAATCAACTACTGACTTCTCAGTAAATAATGTGATAGAAATCTACTAAAAACTATTATTTTTCTTTAGAAGAAAAAAAAAACAAGGCTTGACAGGGGTATGACAATTTCATATGTGAATAAAGTGACAAAATGTACTTAAAACTTATTTTTCTTTAGAAGAAAAAAAAACAAGGCTTGACAGTAAGAATATGATTGCAACTCAGCAAAAAAGTAAAAAGTTAAAAGGGGTTAAGTATAGATTGGCATGAAAACTGATTGGGTTACACACAAAAACATGGAATATTACTTTTGTTTCTATCATGATAGGTCCATGTCTTTAACACGCCGTGAAGTACAGTAGAAATAATCACTGCTAAAAAGAGCATACAAATAACATGAGATAAACATGTGTTACAGTCCACTTGTTTAACCAGTTCTCAATCTCTTGGTATAAAAGCTAGGAATATCTCAAATAAATGCAGTAAAGTGAACATAATAAGCAAGGCGTTAATAGTTTCTTCATTTTGGCAGGAGAGGGATCCTTGTAATGCTAATTACCAGCAACTTTGACATTTTATCTATATGTGATTAAATCACTAGGGAATATAGAGTAACTTTCAAATCAAGTTTTACACTACAAACTTTCGGGGATATACTGAATAAACCATCACATACTGTAGGAGTGATTTTACAACCTCAGCAAAAAACTTGACCAGAGAACAAACATGCACTGACAAACTATCAACAAAGGTCTTTGTCCCCATGTCCCTACTCCTAATAAATGCACTTTACATTAAAAAAAATCCTCAGAGCCTCTACGTGAACAACAACAAGACAGAGTACACAGCAGAGACATTTATCATACAGCAAAAAGTGTAGCAGGGATTCTAGTTATGGGAAAGATAGATACATTAGCAGGTCATTTCAACTAAACTTGTCTAGTAACTGCACAGTGTCAGCCAAGCATAGTGTCAATGCACTTAAGGGGTTAATGATCCTATGCAAACAGTCACGTCTTTAAAGACATCTTCCAATACAAACTGGAAGAATATCCGGTGATATTTTATTGGATGCTCTACAGTAGTTGTTAACACACTCATTCTAAAAGTCAGCAGAAAACATTTCAACAGAGACACGAGGCATATTCTCCTCAAGGCAGTGGATGCCTTTTCATGTCCCTTTATTTTTTCTCACCTTCCCATTTTAAACCTGAAATATCCCTCTTTTATGCCACTACTCAGATGCTAAGATGTTCAGTATCTGTATGGTTCCTGTAGGAGTGGCATCTCCTCCTGACCCTGGAAGGTCTGTCTCTCTCCGGGTCTTTTTGAAAGCTTCAGCATCTTAGCATCTCCTCGCTGCAGTCCTTTAGCCCTGCGGCGGCAGGACACCTTGTGCCTGTGGAGAAGTGTAGCATTCCAGAAGCGAGCAGAGCAGCGTCGACAGGAGAAAGTCCCTTTGGCACGATGGGAGGCCCGATGGACAAAGGCCGCCAAAGGCCTGTGAGACTGCTTCCCACATACACTGCAGCTCAGTCGCTCCTGAGTGGTAGAGACTTTTTGTGGATGTTTAACTGCCATGTGGACTAGAAGTCCTGCTTTTCGGGAAAAAACTGAATTGGGGCATATAGGACAGCCAAAACGTTTCACAGGGACTTTGAGAGATGACAGGATCTGCACCTTCATTCCCCCAGTGTTGACAAGCTTGTACCCACCACCACCTGATCCTCCTCCACGTCTAATTGTCAAACGAAGAGAGCCTTGTTTTTTATTCAACTGCCCTCTTATTGTACAACTTATCTTTCTCTTCTTTTTGCTTCCATCATATCTGACTAAATCTTGGGATTCCCATTTATTTTCCCTCCAATCTCTCCTGTCGGACTTTTTTTTTTTCTTCTTGAATCGTCTCATTTCATCGTGTGATAACTGGTTGCTGCAGTCAAGGTGTTGGTGGGACTGGGTATCTGACTGATGATGGAGATGATGGTGGGAGTGATGATGATGGTGATGCAGATGATGATGTTCAGTAGAGGGCAGTTCCGTAAGGGGCTGGAACGGGGCTGTGGTGTGAAGGGTACGACTACGGGATCCAGCTGGGTATATGTGCTCTCCTTTCACCCCAGCTGGGGAGTGTGGGTGGTGTGGGGGCATGATTGTTGAGTTTGGAGGCAGAGGCTGCGAATAAGATGGAGCATTTGAGGCTGAAGGCTGGACTGCTGCAGCATCATAAAAGAGGGGGGAGTAACAACCTGGGGGTTGTGGGGGTGCCTGTTGGTGGCTATGAGTCACAACACTGAGACTCTGCCCTCCATGACCTTCCGTGGAAGGAGCCAGCTGTAGCAGGACATTGGTGGCAGCCTCGCTCTCTGATGTTGACTGATTAACATCACTCCCACCTCGGTTGTCTCCAGGCCCACTACTGCCTTCTTGTGGGTTAGATGTTTCAGCACGGGTCATCCCATGCTGTGACTGCCTATGTCTTGTGAGGCTATTGGAGTAGGCAAATGCTTTCCCACATACCTCACAGCAGAAGAGCTTTTCACCCCCGCCTTCATGAACCGTCTGGTGGTGAGCCGTCAGATGGAAATGATGGCGGAAAGACTTCCAACATATAGCACAGGTGTACAGTCGAGGTGGAGGTGGGGGTTGTGGTTGGGGTGGGGGTGGAGGCTGCGGCTGGGGGTTGGTGTCTTGAGGCTTGACATCTTGAGGGTAGGAGTAATAGGAGGAGGTGCTTGGTGCTTGGTTCTGGCTCCTTTCTTGGGCCACGCTACATTGAGGGTTTGGGTTAAAGCTGTTAAGGTTCTCCGCAGCTGGTGTTGTGGGCACCTCTTCCAGCTCCCCTTTCTGGTGGAGTTTGCTGTGCCTCCTGAGGCTCTGGGAGTAACCAAACTCTTTCCCACAGATGCTGCATTTGTAATTCTTTGCCCCAGAGTGGACTGTTTGATGCTTGCTAAGGTGAAAAGCTTCTCTGAAATACTTTCCACATACAGTGCAGTGATGGGGCTTTTCTCCAGTATGGATGCGGTCGTGTCTACGTAAGGTCTCGCGGCGTGCAAATCCCTTACCACAAACACTGCAGAGGTGAGTGCGTGGGAGCCCACTGGGCCCCATTCTGGGGGTGTACTGCCTACGTTTGGGGGGCTGTCCACCAGCTGCAGGATCTTTCTTAGCTCTGGGTTTGCGCGGACGTTTTGGTTTGGAAGTAGGATTCTGTGGGTTGCTGCTCATAGCCTCCTGGCTCCCACCACCTCTGAAATTCTTATCCATACCAGAGGTGGATGAAGGTGAGCCCAAAGGACCTAAACCAAGACCACCTAGCAGACCTCCTATGATGTCTCCCCTATCATCCCCTCTATTTCCACTGTTACCAGCTGCTGTTATAGCAGAGATTGCATTATTGACAGAGCTAGTGACATCATCCTCTGAGTCATCCAGTAGAGAAGAAAGGGGCAGGTGGGGCTGTTGCTGAGGATGGTGGTGCTGGCTGTGGCTCTGTGAATGTGGATGCAGTGTTGGGGCCAAGGGTGCCTTTCTCAGAGCTGGGCCCGCCATCCCACTTCCACAGGGGGAGGCACCAGAGTAGCATGGAGATGGATTACCTTGAGAACGGTGGTCATCATGGTAGCCTGTGTAACGATTCCGAGAGTAGTCAGTGGGGTATTTACCATCTGTTCTGTCCCTGTCATTTGAATTCCCTCCCCTTCCAG